TTCTTCAAGATGAGAATGAGTCTAGAATTCAGAAGTGAGATAGGGGTCATCAAATTATCAACTGGAGCTTTTTCAGGGAAATTCTTCAGAAAATAGGAGATGTTACTAAGAATAAGCATAACCCCAAGTAAGGGGCAGTTGAAACAAAGAAGATTAATAAGCCCAACAACAACCTATTCCCTACTATTTTCCAAGGAACCAAAACACACACACTAGTATTTCAATGGGCATAAGAGGACTCTCATGCCCTATAATAATGCATAACTGAGAGCAGTAGTCACAAAACTTTTTTGTAAATGATTAGATGGTACATATTAATACATATTAACATTTTGGGCTCTGAGACAATAGGTTTGGTCCCTCTCAAGCTATTCTACCACTGTTGTGGCCAAACACATTATGTGAACAGATGGATGTGACCAGATTTGGCCTAAGATTGCTCTTTTGGTCTATGGTGGCCAAATTTGACACAGACTATATAGCTTTGTGATTGTAAGCCAACAACAAATAATTTCAGTTGTATCTACTGTCAGTTATTCTAAAACTAAAATATCTGAACCCCTCTGACTAGTCAAGAGAAGGTACATATATAATTAATTACTGATTTCTAATGTATCCTGTCTAGTTGGACATCATTGGTTCTGGTCCAGGTTGGGATACTCATGTAACAACTGAGATGGGGCTAGAGCTAGGGTAAAGGTTGACTGAGTTTGGAGGAAAGAGTCTCCAGTGTCCCGTTTCCAGTGGGCCTCAGGTGCCTCATGTATTGTTTCCACTGCCTTTATTCCCATGATACCGACTACTCCCTGCTGCATGACCAGCAGTAATGTATTTGCAGGCTAATGGGTTCTGACAACTGCTCTTAATACTCCAGCTGAAGAGAGTGTGTCCTTTGAAAATTGGTAACTCTGCTAACTAACATTAGAAGACTTTGGAGCAATTTTTAGCTTTTTTTGGAGGCCTTTTAGCTTTCTTCTTCAAGTGTCCCTAGGTGAGAGTAATTAAATTATAGCATCAGAAGGGTCTGACCATTGGGTGCCCAGGGTCTTGCTGAAAATAGGACATCCCTTGACCTGCCTTTTCAGCAGTATCAGCATTTCTGGGAGTAGTCATGGTATTAGTATACCATAGTGGGCTATTCAGAGAAGCACTTTTAAAAATTCCTTTATTCTTCTTTGGGGAAAAACAACAAATTTATATGAACAAATTTTTTGACAATGGCTTGTATATCTTAATATTCTTTGTAAATCAGACTCAGGAATATATGCATGGCAACTGAGAACTTTCTGAAATTAATTGGACTCTAATATCAATATCAACTGCATGCACTTTAGGGTCAGAAAAAATACTATTACAGATTTATGGATTATAATTTCATATATATATGAAATATATATGTGTATATATTTGTGCATATATATATTCATTCCATGGAAAACACATATTTAAAATAAAGGAGAAACGTGTTTTGTTAATGGACGAGTTTGGTTTCTTTTTGCAAGTAAAATCTAGTCATCAACATGGATGAAATTGGAAGGGATTATGCTAAGTGAAATTAATCAGAAGGAAAAAGAAAAATATTGAATGGTTCACTTATAGGGAGAATATAGGGAAACTGAACAAAGAATCAGGAAAAAGACAAAGCTTGCAGGTAAACCAAATGTCTGAGGCATATAGCAAGGAAGGAGTAGTCAAAACAGAAGCTGGAGGAGCACAAGAGACTATCATGATGGTCAGGGGTGCCTCAGTGATGAGAGAATTATGGGTATAACACATGAGGGAAGAAATCAAATATTGTATAAAGATGAACAATGATGTAAAAAAATTAAAAAATAAAAACCTAGTCATCAGAGAGTACCTAAGGATAATTTGTTAGGCACAGTACTAATTTAATTTATAATGGTATATAAGAAGTTATGAAAATTAAGGTTAAAATTTCCCCCTTTATATAATGACATACAAAATTGAATATCTATATATAAATATATTAGATAAAGATATACATATATTTATTAGAAGTAGTAGCAAGAGGTGAGGTTTTGTGGTATTCTAATTTGTTCTAACATTGCTAGATGTTTTGGGATTCATCATGAAGATTTGTTTGGAAAGCAGAGCAATAAAATTTTGAAAAAGTTGGATAATGAGAGGGGACTATCTTTATCAGATATTTAAATGAATTATAAGATATAGTATTCAGATATTATGGAAATTGTATAAAACTAGGGGAAAAAACTGGGTCATGGCCATATTTACTGGTATAAACAGTAGAGAAGTGTAGTCTCTGGCTGAAAATCCATGTGCTTAAGCCACACTGAGGGGAAAAAGCTGTAATGTTATCAGAAAAAAGATTGCATGCTTGGGAGAGTTAGTAGCCTGAGCCATAGTAGTTTTATAGGAATAAAATCAGATCAGTTTAGATCCTCATCTATATTTCAAAATAAATCCTGAGTAGATATATAATAAAAACATGGCAAGCATCCAGAAAATATTATGGCTATTTTTATTATGATTTGCTAGGAGTGCTTTTTATGGATTGTATCATTCAATCTTTACAATGACCTTAATCAAAGAAATTTTAGTTGGCAAGACTCTAGTTGATAAATGGACAAAGAAAATATATCAAAGACTTCACGGAATAGAAAATACAGGTGACTAATGAGGATTTTTCATATCTTCAGTAATTTTTCTGATTAAGAGAAACATAAGGTTTTAAATGAAAAACAATTTTTACTTATGAAGACATATTTTACAAAATATTCAAATTTGGATAGGATGAATTATAGAATATAAACTGCCAGAGCCCATGTGTCAAGATCCTTAGAACGTGTTCATATTCTCAGTGATCCAGAAATTTCAGTTTTAGTAATTTTTACCAGAGAGTAAATAGGGTGAGGACAAAGCATTACTTACAATTTACACACACATACACTCACACACATCAGAAACCTTGTCAATTTCTGAAAGTGAAAGAATGACTAAGGAAAATGTTATATATGCAAAATGTAATATTACATACTTAAAACAAGTTAAAGTGGGTTATAGTGGTATTAAGAGCATAGGAGGATTGCAGTGATTATAATTTAAGTAAAAAAAAAAAATGGGACATAGGGCCTCCCTGGTGGCAAAAGGGGTTAAGCACACAGCGTTGTGAAGCTGTCTGCGGCCTCTGCAGCATGAGTTCAATCTGGCCTGCCAGGGAGTACCCACATGGTACAGCAGACCTCTCCTGCCTTGCCTGCTGCTCCCCTCAGCAGCGTCTTTCAGCTAGTGTGCCTGTTCTGCTCCCCACTCTGTCTCCGGAGGGTCCTTTCACACCCCCCCCACCCCGTACCTCTCACCTGTACCCCAGTTCTTGTATGCATAAATAAATAAATCTGTAAAAAATGGGACATAAAATTATTAAAAATAAGTTTTAAATTGTCTTTTAAAAAACATAGACTCAGGATTGGAAGTCGATATTTAAATGTTTCTGGGTGTCCTCTCTCACTCTCTTTCACTTCATCTTTGCTTCTATATTAGTACCTCTGTATTTATTAATCAAAAAAACTTTCATTTTTCCCTCTCTTCATTGGATTATTGAAAAGAGAAGGTACCATGTTTTTATCATTGCTGTACACTATGTAGCATAGTCTCTGGTAATAAATATGATTAGGTAATCTTAGGTTAGGTGGCCTTGTAGATGACCCACCATTAGGCTTCTGTTTTAACCATGGAATGACAATACTAACGTAATCAGAAATTAAACTCAGTTTTTAAAGTAACAGAATAAGGTATTTTTTTTTTTGTGATAGCTTTTTTTTAGTAATTGGCCTAGTTTTCTAACAAATGGATAGGAAGCAGAAGTGATAAAACATAGATAAGTTAGAATGAGAAGGAAATAACTGAACTAAGTTATGTCCATTCTCTCACCCCCATTCTCTGTATCTGGTCTTGGATTATGTTTTCTCTTTTGTGGAAGTAGGATCCTGGCAATGTTTTGTGTGTATGTATAGAAGTAAAATGTACATTGTCATGCCCAGTGGTTTGCATAACATGATTTGCTGTAGTGGCTTTGCTGTGAGTAGTGTTGATTGGCATAGTCACACAGGAATTCACACAGGAATATCAGACTTAGAGAGGTATTGAAATGGGAGCTCGCGATGGTTTTCCCTTCTCTTCCCATCTCCTCCCCTTAAATATCTAACTTTATCACATCTTTGTTATTACAGTAATTCAAGGCTTTCATATTTGGGTCAAGTGAAACTTAATATATAATTATAGTCAGGATTGTCTTAAGTGCCCCTGTTTAAAAAAAAAAAAACATTTGACAAATAAAAAGATTGAAAAATAAAAATGAGACAGTTTCCTTCTGGCTTAAATGAAATGGATATTTTTGTGTCAGTTCAAATATTTGAAAATGGTAAAACCTGTCAGATTTTTCTAATGATACACTGTATGTAGTAGGGAAATTATTTGAAGTTTAGTTTGAGGCTTATTTGCCCAACTGTGAATCATAGACATAGAATTAAGGATGTGTAGAGGTATGTTGTTTTATCTTTATCACTAGGATATTTGAATAAGATAATTCAAAAGCAATTAGAAGCCCTAACAGCTACATAAAACAGAGCATTTTCATTTAGAACAGTTCTGATAGAATAAAGGTAAAGGGAAGAAAATTTTGATCCAATTTAACTGACTTCGAGGGTATAAGAGAAATGAAAATGGGCATCCAAAAAGTAGGGAATATGCCTGCAAATTTAAGCTTTGATGAGTATGTGAATTTTTCTTTAAGATGAGTAGCAAAAAGAAAGTTTGTGATTCCACTTTCTGCACCGTTGATCCTGTTAATGAATCCCACCAGGTGATCCCTAGTTTCTGGAGCTGAAGAAATCTATCTGTGGCATCTAGCAAGTCAGTTTAAGGAAAAGATGTCAGTGACTTAAGTCCCAGGTCACATGACTCCCCCCACTTGCCAATACCAGACGCTCCGGATCAAATTTCAACTCCAGGCCGTCCTCCCAGCCATGTGGGTTTAGCCTAAAAAGAAGCAAAGCTGCACTTCCGAAATGTTAGGAGTTGCTCTTAGCTCACTTCAGGGCCTATAGATTGGGAGCTGCTTTTCAAATCAGAGCATATCCACTGAGTGGAACTGTAGTGTTTTGCTGTCATTTTGATGTTCTCATCTGGTTTTCATCAGATCTGCCAGCCACTTCTGCGAGAATGGGGGCGGGAGCTCTCGCCATCTGTGTGAGTACAGGCCGCTCTGTGAGCCTCTTGGGCCCGGGAGAGGCCTTTGCCCTCCCAGTTTTGATGAGAGTTTTGTATGACATTGTTTCCCCTCCTGGGAGGTGGGGAAAGATTTGTGACTTAAATTCCTATTTATTCAAATGGATATGAGGCAGTAATTTGGGTGGCAGTCAGCATTTTTGTCTGTCTTTCTTTACAAAAAAGGTGAGAGATCAACACTGAGTTTATTGTTAAGCAATTTGTTTAAGGAAAAGCACTCTCAAGTGTGTTCCCTTTTTTGTCCAAAAAGAGTTAAATATGAATGCTTATAGTTATTTAGAAAAATCCTGTGGCTAACACTGAGAAAGAATTAAAATAACCATTAATTTATTACCTCTGAGTATTTCTGTCATTTTTCTATTTCTTATTCTTGTTTTCACTTATTAATTCTGGAGCTTTGTTTCAGCCTGGCTGCCAAAAGTAGTTAAAATCTTAGTTGATTAGTATTTGTTAGTCTTTAATCAACTGCAGACATTTCTGGTTGTTATAATATGGAAACATCAATAAATAACACTGATATAGTAGCCTTGGGGAAATGTGTTTCGAGGACCAAAATTCATGAATTTCAAAAGCAATTCTATTGGTACTGTACATAACTATTTGAAATAACCAAGCATTGTCAATGATATAATTTACAGAATGCTGTATTTTAAACATTTGTTTCAATATATAGAAAATGCATAAATATATTTTACATATTTGTCTTTCAAGTTGGCATTTATTTAAGGGGCTATTTAGTTTGTCCCTAAATGTACTAAATGAGAAATACCTTATTCTCTATTATCACTTTATTTGCTCACTTGTGTCTCATCATATTCTACACACTTTTGTCTCATCACCTCATCCCCCACACACTACATTTCGTTTATTTTAAACGCCTTTCCCCCAGCTACCCCATCAGAAAGAGCTGCAATTTGTTGTAGGTTGTGATGGCATCCTAAAGTACCCAGAAATATCTGGGCAATTTTTGACGCTTAGGACCCAGATGGTCAGCAGATGGTGTACCAGCCCCACAGATTGAATTTTCTTCATAAAACTGCAGGGTGACTCCCTCATTTCTATGCTTGGAACTTTTCAGCATCCTGTGTGCCAGTCTGCCTGTTTTTGGTTTTTCCTTTAGCACTGAGGTTTGTAGCATCCAGCTGGTTATTTTTTTATCACTCTAAAAAGTTTCCTTCAGAATCTGATTTTTCATGTAAAATACTGAAATAACTTTATTTTATAACAGACATGGGTCTTCCAATTTTATAAAAATATTTTGGAACTGGAAATGTTTAGAATGAGTCAGTGGATAGACCTATTTGTCATGAAATTTACTGTTCTCTCTGATTAGGTCCTTATTTCTTGTCCTTAATGTATACAGTGATCTCTATCTTGACTGTAACTCAGACTCACTCATGTATGAAACTTTGTATGTTTCCTTAATTTTATATCCAAAGCATGTACAAAATTTCACTTAAGATTGGTATATAAATCACACCATTTAAGAGATTATTCATTCTGGGATATATGAGTAATTGATCTGGTATGTAATCTCTTGTGTGTAGGTTTTAATTCTCAATTATTCTGGCCCTTCAACTTCAGGATGGTATTTGATTGTGCGTGTCCCAGTTTTACTGTAAGAGGAAAATATCTCACTTTTAGAAATTGTAGCATGTATTCGTGCAAAAAAGATAGCTGTTGGAGACAAAGCTTTATTTCTATGTGGTAGCAGAAAAGTCAGAATTAAGCCACATGTAATACGTGCATATGACCTGATACAGTTTTCAGGTGGGGACTTTGCTACTTAGACATAACTTATGTGCCGCAACTGCTCCAATATCTTGCTACTGAATTTAGTCATTCTTCAGATAAAATAAGAACAGGAGATATTTGTACAGTTGTGTGTCTTTATGAATTCTTGAAGAGAGACAGACTGGTTCAAAAATAACCAGTTCCAACACTCATTGACTAAGCAACTTTCTCTTCCTCATTCCTTTTCTCTTTTCCTTATTGATAGTGCTGTTAGTAAAATAATTGTGGACTCACAAATGTCTTTACATTGCTACTCATATGTAAGTATGGTGAAGAAGATAGAGCTTCTTTATCATAACATCTACTTTTCCTCAGTAAATCACTAGCAGGCAGAACTGGAAACTGTACTCGTTAATGTCATCTTAACGTGCTAGTTTTAAATGTTATTTTGGATAAATCAAATTTTCAGATGAGTCATGGTCCTTTGAGATTCCCTGCCCTCCTGCAGTTCTTTCCAGGTGGCATGGGGTGTTTTGGGCTGAGAGGGAGATTGCATAATCCAATGGAAGAAGAGAGAGAACCTAGAATTCTTGTGTGTATTAATGTTGTGTTCTGGTATTCTGGATGTTCTGAAATGTGGGTAAGTTCAGTCATAAGATCTATGACTGGTGAATTTGTGTATCAGTGCTTTTGGTTTCATCAGAGCCTATTTGTCTATCCTTCCTGATTTAGCCTCAACTCTTGCTGGTGCTGGCAGTTATTCAAAGCGTATTCCAAGTTTTGTAGCCACTGTCCCTAACTTGGACACACACCTCCATTCTTATAGCCTTCTTACCACTGGGGACTAAAAACTGACTCATACATTTCCTAGGATGTAGACAGGAGCTCATCGTCATAAAATAGAAAACTTACAGACACAATTAAGCTAATCTAGATACAGTTGATTATGATATCAACTTAAATCACAGCACAAAGAAAGGGGAAAAGATGGGGTAAGTTTATCGACTTAGAGTTTAAGTGGGATAGAAGTGTAACAGGGTGGTCCCCAGGAAAGGGGGAGGTTTCAGGTTCCCTGCCCCACCCTAGGAAAGGTGGAGCTGAGCAGGAAGAGGAGAAGCTGCAGAAGAGACTGAGGAAGGAGAGCCAGGAGACCTGGAGGAGGCGATAGGCAGGTTTGCGGGGTTTGGGCTGCCCCTTTCCCTGTCCTATAACAGAAGGACCATATCTGTGGCTCTGTGATATGAACATACCTGGTGTTCATCTCATCTGTCCTATCTCTTGTCTTCTCTGGTACATCAGCCTTCCCTGATCATGGTGTGTTTTGAGCAGTAGGATTGACTGTGAGCAGAAGGGAATGTATCGGACACAGGTTGCTTTGTCATCCAGGACAAGTGTGCCGAGATTTAGTTGTAACTTGCTAATACACTACTGAAAACTTAATGGAACTTTATCTGCATATCTCAGACAGAGAGCACACAACACCTGGAAGTATCGAATCAATGGGTGACTATTTTAAGACATTGATTATTTGGTGTCTCATAAATGTTGGTTGCTTTATTGGTACCTAATATCAATTAATTAAATGAATTAGTAGTTCTCCCATTTTTCAATTATCTAGTAAAATATGTCTACCAAGCTACCTCCTTACATATTATCAATACTTAGTTGTATTTATTCTCCATTTTCTTTGTTATCCTCTTATCCTCAATTTAAGTGAACTGAATTATTTATTTATGCATATAAGAACAGGGGTACAGCCAGAGGTGCAAGGGGTGGGAGGATTCACCAGAGACAGAGCGGGGAACAGAACAGGCAGATCCACTGAAATACACTGCTGAGGGGAGCAGCGGGCGAGATAGGAGAAGTCTGCTGTGCCATGTGGGTAGCTCCCTGGCCAGCCTGGATCAAACTCATGCTGCAGAGGCTGCACAAAGCTTCACAGTGCTGTGCTTAACCCCTTGCACCACCAGGGAGGCCCTGAACTGAATTTTCTTAATGGAACAAAGAAAACATAATGAGACAGTTTCATCTCTTGATAAGTATAAAGATTCTGTGTTACCTTAGCTGGTCAGTGCTCCATCAACAAAAGAAAGAGAAGGCTGAATGAATGCTCAGGGGTTGGCATGGAATCAGAGTTATAGAAGATACTTTTGCAGTTTTCTGGGGTTACTGAGTCATTGTGTAATTCCCAGAATTTGTAACTGCAATTATACTTTTTCATTTGTTAGACTGTTGGAAATTCAACACATGCATACCTTTCCCCCACCTTGTGCTTTATTCAGCAGTACTTTCTTTACATGAATGATTAGCCAAAAAAGAAGGCAGGATTCTATAATCCTAGCAGTAAAGCTTAGGTCCTTAGGAGGCTAACATTTTACTTCATAAATGAAGTCCTATTAACTGCCAAGATTTTTTAAATAAAGGGCTCATTGTAGGAAAAATGTAAAGAGTAGCAATGGAAAAGATAGGCTGGAAGGAAAACAGTTATCCAGAGAAGTTTTATGTAAACATCTTATAATGATTACTTTTGGTGTTAATTTCCAGAGATTCCTTTAAAGTTTAAGAAACAATGCTAGTTTAAATGTAAATAAATGTTTGTTTCCGAGGTTTACACTGTACAATAATCATGTAGGCCTGCAACTACTTATTTGTAGCTTTAATTTTAAGCACATTTGATTTTTCTGAAGCTATACTTTTAGATTGTTAATTTTTCCAAGGTAAAATGTTTAACTCTGTATTTGATCTTTAACTTTAAATACACATTTGTCACTTAAAAACATACTTATTTTATTTTTTTTCTATATACACATATATATAGTCATGTATTTAAATACGTACATTTTTAAGTATGTACAATCAATATCATGCTATAGATCTCAATGTATACTTTTTTTTTTAATTAATAAATTTTATTTTTATATTCCCCATACATATTACTCAGCATTCAAAAAAGATAAACACATGCAATTTGCAGCAACATGGATGACGCTGGAAGGGATCATGCTCAGTGAAATAAGCCAAAAAGAAAAAGAAAAATACCGGATGGTCTCACTCATAGCAGGGATCTAGAAAACTTAAATAAGGGACCAGGAAAATGAATAACTATAAGAAAGTGAAAATCAAAATCAACAAAAACAATGGGGGGATTGCAAAAACATACTTATTTTAAATTTACATTCTGTTAAACTGTTGAGAAACAATGGCAAGAGTATTTTCAGATTTGATTC